ATCCGACCAATAGCTGCTACCTTGACGTGGTGGTCAGGCTTGCATATCACAATGACCCAACGACCTATGCTGGTGGAGCACTTGTTCCCTCGAGGTCCTACCATACCGGAAAGATCGGCTGTATAGTGGTTAGACGAAAAGCAGTTACCGTTGTGGTGTAAATTACTACACTATGATGGGGGTCTGAGGGCGAAGTCACACTGCTGTTAGCTGGATGGGGTGTGATGGCAGTAAGGTGTTTCCCTTGGATGACCAGCAGTGCCATACTGATGCTGCCTTCTCAGTGGAATGGGTGGGGGGTGGGGGGGTGGTTAGAAAAGGTTGGCCTCCAAAACAACACACTCCACCATACCCCACGGTCTACCGGGCTGGCGGTGTTGGTTCATTTATCGTTTCCTTTTGACCATCCGGCCCCAAAAATTCAAGAAAACTATACACCCAAGGCTGGGTGTGACAGGCCTCAAGTAGATGTCCAATGGGCTCTGCGGTCACACAAATCTCTTTCAGGTACCTTGAGGAGAAATGCCTTCCACGGTGTGGGCAGCCGGGAAGTGTCAACCGTCTTCACAACTCGATCAGCACTCAAGTTTCCTTAAACTGCTATCCATCTCCTCCATCATTACTTCTGGTCTTTCTTCACATCTGTAAATTAACGATACTACATCATCTTGAATTTCTGTTAGCTGTGCAGCCTTGGACAATGATCTTAGTACATGGAACAACATGCGTGTTCTGCTTAAACCATACTGCTAATTAAATATTGGTGCCTTCAATGTCCACACCCTCGTGAAATTGGTCAACAGTCTTCGTTGGTAAAGACTCTAGAAACTCGGACCACGGATGTGTGCTGTGTCTGTGAGACACGTATACAGTACCCAAGTGAAGTTATTTACCTGACCTCTCCCTGCCAACCCGGTGAGTCCACAAAATTCACCCTTCGAGTTTCCTGAGATTCGATAGCTCTCGTGTTCTTGCAGATGTAGGCACAACATCAAGCACTAGGGCTGGAAACTCACCACTAGACTGGATCCCAGTTGAAAGTCACCTCTGCGCTATCCGACTGAACGCCACAGTGAGAACTAAAAGGAATAGTGAAACTCGGCGTTGTCTCTTGTAATCTCTGCTTACACACCCATTGACTGTAGTTCGGATGAAGTGAAGGACGAGTTCTACTGTAAACTGTCTAGCCTACTCTCGAAAGCCAAACGTTTGGACGTCATGGTTGTTGCAAGTGACTTCAGTGCACAGGTGGGTAGACTGAGTGAGACAGAAAGGCACTTAGGTGGCACTTTAGGAGTTTTGACTGAACGAACAGATAACGGTGATCGCCTACTACAACTGTGCTCAGATAAGCGCCTATTTTTATCTCGCACAAATTTCAGACATAAGAAAAGACACTGTCTGACGTGGCGTCCACCGAGCTCAACTCAGTGATGGACACAGATAGACCACGTTGCTATTAGTCATAGCTAGAGAGTATCAGTGGAAGACTGTCGGTCCTTCTGGAGTACGTGTTTGGATAGCAACCACGCATTGTTGTGAACGCGTATATGCCTGAGTCTCAATGGATGGAAGAAACATTTGGCTACACAAGCACTACAGGTGCTGCTGGACAACGGAGACACCAAAGCCGTTTTCAGTGAGCGGTTGGCTGGGCAGCTATCGGAACAAAAGACTGTCACCCATCCAGAAGAACCTTGGTGCCATCTTCAATCTGCTGTGAAAGCAGCGTTGAAGACTGTAACCGACTCCGAAATAGTGGCTAAAAAGAGCCAGTGGATATCAGCAGCTTCTTGCGAACTAATGGATGCACGTGAACTCATCCCTGCAGGCTCTGAGTACAATTATGAGCGAGGGCAACTTAAAAGTAGACTGATGAAAAGTCTTCGGCAACGACCACCAACAGTAGTGGGCAGCGAAGGCTAAAGAGATGGAAAAGGTGGCAGCGATTGGTGACAGTAGACAGTTATTTAGACTTATTAAGGAAACTGGGTGAAAAAGGGCCAACTGCGGTTAGTGAGACCATAGTGGAGAAGGACCGATCTGCGATTCACTCGCAGGAGAGACGACTGGAACGATGGGTAGAACACTTCGAGGAACAGTTTAACTGGTCTCCAGCCACCAATGCGTTGCCCGCTATCCAGTCGGATCCTGAATGGGACATAGAGATAGGCCCCCTCAACACTAGGAGAAGTTGAGAAAGCGGTAAGTAACCTGAAATGAGGAAAGGCAGCAGGACCAGATGGACTACCTGCTGAGGTATACAAGGATGGTGGTAAGGTGCTCTTAGTCAGGTTAACGGAAATGTTAGCTAGTATATGGGAATCAAATACGATGGTGAGATGTCAGGTGAGCTGTACTCATCGAGTGGTGTCCGTCCGTCAAGGGTGCCCACTCTCTCCATTCTTATTCCATTTGATCATCGATATTCTTATGGAGGTTACCCTCTCGCGTCATCTGACTAAACAGGGGTTGACCCAATCATAGTAGAATTTTCGTTAGACCTAGAATATGCAGATGACATAGTCCTGATAAGTGAAGACACTGACAAGATGCAGAGTCTTCTGAACTCTTTGAGTGAGAACTTGAGAATGTTTGGGATGCGCTTCTCACCACCCAAATGCAAATTGCTGCTGCAGGATTGGTCTTCAAGGATGCCCCACCACTGCTAACAATAGAGAGTGTAATGTTTGAGTGTGTTGACCACTTCACTTGCCTAGGAAGTAGGATCAGCCCTGATGGCTCAGTGGCTGGTGAAATCTCTGCACGGATACAAAAGGCTCAATTGGCTTTTGCCAACTTACGCCACCTGTGACGCCGCCGTGATATCCGATTGTCTACTAAGGTTTGCGTATACTGCACAGCAGTCTGGTTTGTTCTGCTGTATGACTGTGAAACATGGCGATTGAAGGTGGAAGACATGAGAAGGCTTCAGGTGTTTGACCACCGTTGCCTTCGTAGTATAGGCCACCGTATTCCGTGGTGTCACCATGTAAGTAATGTAGAAGTTAGGTGTAGAGTTTTAGGGAGTTGAGGTGGGTCGGCTGACGGGGTTGTGAGCCTTGATGGACTGAGATGGCTAGTTGGGACATGTGTTACGTATGCCTAGTCGCCGATTGCCTCGTCACACAATGTTGGTGGAAGTAGTTCCAGGCTGGGAAAAGGTCCGAGGTGTTCAGACTAAAACATGGCACCAATGTGTGAAGTGTGTGACTGTTGGTTTGAGCCATGTAAGGGGGTGATGCAGACTAGGTGGTTGGGTTCGGCAGGACAAGAGGAACCAATGGTTGGAGACTCTATATGATATGGCTGAGAACCGATGTCAGTGGCGCAGATGTATACATACATTATCCTCATCTTAACGACGGTGTACCGAATCTCACCACTTTCTCCTTCTTCCTTTCTCTCTTTTCGTACTTTATATTTTTTTGACTGCATTCTCTTATCTTTATCTTGCACGTCACTGCCTTTTTACTTGATGTACTGATATGAGGAGTGGCAACTCGAACCGTTACGCAGTAATGCCTGGTCCTAGGTTGATCTGGATGGATGGAGAAAACTAACAAGTGGATCGTCCTATTATACGTGAAGAACGTCTCCGAGATCACGGCTAGATTATTGAAGCCTCTTGAAATCGTTGTTTCTCACAAGCCCAAAAAAATCTCTTCACTCGCTGTTATGCAGGCCAAAGATACAATACAGAAGGAAGACAAACCAAACATTATTTACAAAATAAACTGCAGAAGATGCGAAAAACACTACATCGGATAGAGTGGAAGCCCACCCTCTTCGCATCCGTCTACATGAACACTAACTAGCAGTGAAGTGTCATGACATATCTTCGCTCATATTAATGCATACGGACAACTGGACATGAATTTGACTGGATAAAGGAAATACAAAGAATGCCACAGAATGTTTAGAAGCTTGGTATTCAGGTTAGTAACAATCAACAGACTCACTGACACTGACCCAATCTGTCAACCAATAAGAAATAACAAGAAGGTCAAATGTTAGGTTATCAGGAAAACCAATCAAAATAAACATAGAGACAATGACAAGACCTTGGCAGAAGCGACCAACCGCACACCAGGTTATGAGGACGAGCTACTAAATAAATTGCGGAGGAAACTTTATTTCTCACTTCTTTCTGACGTTTGTGCTGATGATGTTGTCTAGAGTGACAACGAAAGCTTCACGACTAAACAATCCAGCTAAGAGGACACAGCACCATTAAAATTTACTATACGAAAACTCACATTGGGCGTATAATATGGAGGAAATGACAAAAATAACGATTTTTTTGTCATTGTATTTTAATGTCTTTCGTTAGCCACATGGAATTACAATCCTGAAATTGAGGCTGAAGTGCTTCAGGGATGTCTATTGACCACATATTTCTTCCATGCAAAAGACATCGGTAAATAAACCTAGGGAAGAATGGTTAAGTTTTTCAAGTCCCATATGTGAACTGTACACCGGCAAATCTAATAAATTTATGTATCCACCATTGGAAGAATGTGAAGATCAATAATTGCATATGAGCTTAGGAATTAGGATTCCTGAACCGAATTCTGTAAACTACAAATAACAGTTTCGTATCAAACTCTAAAATTTACTGAAGCTATCAGTTTGCGATTTTGCACGCTTACGAAAAGCTTTATAAATGTCATATTTGTGAAGAGCAAACTAACAAACTCAACCACTAACCAATATGGAACTATAATACTGTTGTTGATTATGGCAACGATTATCTTTGCTTAGGTGTCGAAAACGTACGCTGTTACCCAGTAACTAAGTAGAATTTGTACAAGGAGGCTATGTCAGACAACTGCTACTTGCTTTTTGCGTCCATCCCCACACAGAAGTTCTGACAAATATTGATAAATGTTTAGAAGATAACCGTAAAGCGGAAGCGGTAACTGGATTATTCTTGAAAACAAACCTGAAGTTAGCACAGATGAAGTAAGACGAAAATTATCCATTCAGTGTAGACTTACGCATAGTTGCGACTACCCACACAATTGTTAAGCCATTTGCAGTGATGGTCAAAATTGGCTATACATTTGTTACAGCTTTTACAGTGCTTCGTCCGCGAGCTAGAGCTAGATAAACAAAAATGTACATTTTTATTAAGTGAAAATTAATGTTAGACAATAGAATGGGAGTTCGAAAAACTAAGGTAAAAATAATTTCCACCCACATATTCTTTTCTAGTTACAGCTAATAATCCCTTGAATTCAAACTCATTGCCCCATTAAATGTGGACAGAATTATTGTTAGACTGAAAAAGATGTATAAAAATTAGCCCACGTCGACACTTGATAAACGGTATCATTGAATAGCTTTTCTAAAAAACTATTCTGGGCGAGACCTACAACGGTGGAAAGAAGTTAAAATAACGAGCTTTAGTGATTAGATACACCATGGTAATTAAGCTATTGTAGTGGATTTCTATCTGATTCGCTGACCGCTTTCAATGAATGAGTTACATTGTCTTCACGCAATGATGTTGGAAAGCCCTAGTTTTGTATAAGACATTGCTTACTAATCTAAACAATTTTTTAAAATTCCCTTTTTCACGTCATCTGTTAGACATGGTCGGTAGTTCATTTTCTGTCCCCATTTTCAAGGTAACTCTGATTGTTTAATGCCTACTTTTACTATGTTAATGTCTCAATTTTTGGACAAGGTCATATCTCATGTGTATACATACACATGTATTTGGGTTAATTGATTACTATTCTCAGAAAAATAAACTCTCCATCCAGCTCAGTCTCCTTCTTTATTCGTCCCGGGTCGGAGTCGGTGGGTCTTGGGTACAAGGTTAGCTGTCAGTTGAGCGTGCGTATTACATGTGCTCGGAATATATGACAAATGATTTGCACAGCCTACAGCAATATGAATATTTCCACTTCCTCTGAGATGATTTTAATGAGGTGGTGGCAAATAAAAAAATGTTTTCAAAGTAGTTAGAATAAGTTCTTTCGGAGTTAAAATATGAAGATCATGAACTTACAGACTGAGATCATCAGTTACTTAAATAAGTTGAGATGCTTTTGTGTCTAAGATTGATAACCAGATTCAAAAACACCTAGGCTGTGTAGCACAACTGATTAAATGAACAAATTAGTGTAAATGTTTATATATCTACTGTGTGAAAGTTAACCGTACCAACTAAATACTCACACTAAAACTAGTGGAAGTGTATTTTAATGACTGGGAATAGAACGCTGACAGAAAGACAGACGAAATCAACGCAGAATCTCGCACAGAAATGCATCAGGATAAATTGTCACACTTCATAGCAGCGTGCAAAAACAAATGAGTAGAAAAAAACTGATACCAGAGTAGATCAAAGTGTGTAGAAGGACAAGGAATTTGAAGATAATGATTCGTGAAAATATTCAAGCTTTAGACGTCAGAGAGTCAATACATTGGCACCATTTTCACTGATTTTCGGCCATTGCACAGAGTCCTCAATCACTGATTTCTATCGCCTCGGGTAACCCACAGAGGTAGTCTACACCTCCCTACACAGCCTAGATCAAGTCAGATACTCCATGCACTCGTTCCATATCTGGTCTGATCACCCTGAGCCGTCCCTCAATCTAATCCAACTTTACCGGCACTACACACTGAGATAGGAGGTGGCTCAACATGTGCGATATATTCCCAGGCCACCTCAGTCGCTGAAGGTTCACAACCTCATCGACCGACTTTCCTTTCTTGCCTAATACCTTACGCCTGACCTCGGCATTGCTCATATTGGTGATTTCATCATACGCCAACAATGCTACAAAGAAAGCTATAGTCGTAAACATGTTGTCTCTTCATACATAGTCTTATCACAGGACAGAACGGATTGGAGTGTAGTTAACTGATGCTTTAACAGGTAGAAGTCTCGACTGTGTCATCATCAACAATTTTTTTTACGTGATTTTTTATGAATAGGAACAAGATATGTATCAGCGAGGGAATATTTCTTTTCAACGACTTCATCACCAAGCTGTACATTCATATTTCTACTCGGTAAAATGACAGATAATTGCACTAAAAAGTTGCTCAGTCAATATGCAAAATAAACAAAAGTGATTTTTTAGTCTTGATTCATCGATGACCTTAAACTTAGCACAAATTGATGTTTCTATACAGCTATGCCCAACTATGAGTTATACTAACATTTTATCGGTGTCTTAAATTTATCATTATAGGAAGTAAGAATGAAAATATCACGCTTTAATTCATAAGAGAAAAATTAGATAACAGGATACTTACATCGGTAAATCACACAAGTTGCAATAGAAATTTTCAATCACATGTGTATGCTTAGGATCCAGAGCAGGTACCTTTTTTCCTCGCATCCTCTGCTTTTCTCGGACAGCTGTATCGGCAGGATTAATACTCACTGCAGCAACATTGAGAACAATGTAAGCGACAACACTTATGGCATTTATCTATTGATGGTCTACTTAAGGATAATACTGATGATTGTTCCAATAATAATTCTGAACAGTACATTTACAATAAAAGAATGCATCCAAAGCAAAAATTTCAAGACAAATGGATCATAGCGTAGGATCGTGACTGTATGTTTCTATTCCCAAAGTCAGGAAAAATAAACTGTTATCTGCTATTACACAATTTGGATTAGCTGTGCATCGGTTCACTCTGTACGCCAAGGAATAGCAAACCATTTGCGATGAATGAAATATGAAGCTTCAGTCTACCAGAAGCATAACAGCATAAAACCTTTTTATTGATACAAATTACTGTACTACAACAGCGGCAGACTGATGAAAACACAGAAAGTAAGGTGAATTTATACCTACAGAGTTCAAAAGAATCTATCGGTCTTAAGATGATCTCTTCTCACGCCATCACCTCCAAAGTATTGTAATTCAAATTACGCTAGCCAGTTAGTTTAACAAAGAAGAAATCACCTGGAAGCTGCACAGGGGGCAGTGACGTCATAAAGAACATTACTGTATATCAAAAGACTGGTGCATGCACAAGTAGTAACAGTTAAAGTTTTCATTAGAGATGAGTTTAATTATATTCCATCGGCTGACTACCATATTTCCATCAAATATTTCGTAATAATATGAAGATGCATTCGAAATCAAAAAAAGTCGCAACCCACTTAACCTACCTTGTGTATAATCCTGCGGCAGGCAGTGAGCCACACCTAGTGTGTGGAATGATGATACTAACTGGTTTCAAAAACCATAGTAGGCAAGGTGGTATTCGAACCCACGACCCAATGGTTGAACGTCAACTCACTAAACCAATGAGTAGAGTTGTGCCCATTAGTTCGATATGCTTGATCATCATCCAAAGCACTAAGGACAACCAGTCAATGTTAACGTAAGACCTGGTATAATTACTGCACAGTGATACAAGTTGACACACTTTATTTCAACAAACCGACATGCTAGACAACAAGACAGAAGATGAGGAATTAGAAACTTAAGAATCAAAAAATAAAAGGCGATAACGCGAAGGGAAGAGACGGTGCGTTTATTAACGAAATCCGATGTAAGTTAGGATTTTTTAAAAAGGTATCGATACATTTCTACCAATCTTAACGATTCTGAATCATGTCACCGAAAGTCTTCAGTCAGTCATTTTCGTTCTCATGTAGATCTAAACCAGGATATCCACATTCCTCCTGCATAAATCAGACCAACAGTCAGAGACAGTCGGCTGGTGCAGCTAATTAGTTAGGTTGTACTTAATCCTTCCCACCCAAATCTTACTTCAAATAAAATTGCTAATTGAGGAAGATGGTGACCTGGCATGACTAACAAATGTCTCGGCCGTTTCAGTTGGTAAAACTTCACTATTTTATCCATTAAGTTACGTCTCCTAGCGAAGACCATGCCTAGCCCCTACATTATTCAGGTTTGCAATGCCACGAACATAAAATCCACTCTACAGGTTTCCAATACGTAGTTGAATACCGTGGATTTAACGACCTAAAAGGCATGTCTGTATTAAGCTACACACCTACATTTTGATTCTCAAACCACCCTTGTTACTGACAGAGAGACTAAATTAACTCAGAACCTCACATAAAAGTGTCTCAGTTCAAGTCGCACATCACAATAGCATGTAAAGAAAAAGTGGATAGAAAAATACATATCTAGGCAGACAAATGAGGGCGGAAGCAGGAATTCGGAATTGAAAGTTAGTGAATGTTTAAGCTTTGTAAAACGTCAATAACAAAACCTATCCGGAAGAAGTCTAGAGCTACCTCCAGTATGCTGTAAAAACGGCTTTGAAGACCAAGGATAGTGCTCCATAAAGGCTAGTGATTCTCAGCAGCTTCTGAATTGATGGATACAATTGTACGCATCAACGTCGCCTACGTAACTAGTTCACTAGTTACCACCTGGTCCTAAGCCCGGGTAAAGAGGGAAGGTTGGGCGTAGGGCTAGCAACCCTACCCCGGAAAACAAATCCAACCGCTAAAGAAACTTCAAAGCACAAACACAATACAAAACATTAAAACAAAATTATTCCCCGCTGGAATCGGAGAGACAAAAGGACGCCGATTGGTAAAAGCCTTCAGGAAGCCAATTGGTCGATGTATCTTCTCTCGATGAAACCGAAAGTAAACGTGGGGACATGGAATGTCCGCACCATGTTTGAACCTAGCAAGGCTGTCCAGATTGCAAATGAAATGAGAAGGTATCGCATTGAAGTGCTAGGAATCTGCGAAAGCAGATGGAATGGAAGTGGACTCTCCAAACTGTCAACTGGAGAGGAGTTCATAATCTACTTCGATATTGTCACCCAGACGACAACCACAAGCACACTGAGTTTTCCAGTGGCTATCATGATATCTCCAAGAACATCGAAGGCTCTCATACAGTGGCATTCAATCTCCTCCAGGATCAAGATTATGACAGCAAGGTTCAACTCAAAAGGAAGCAAAGTCACAATCACACAATGCTAAGCTAGCTATGCACCTACAAATAATGCACATCAAGAGAAGGAGGACGAATTCTACAGACTCCAATCAGTACTAGACAAGACCCCACACCAGTTGGCGACATCAAAATTCTAATGGGTGACATGAATGCCAAACTGGGAGCAGACAACACACAAAGAGAACTCATCATTGATCAAGAAGCACTCGGTGAAATGATGAATTAGAAAGGAGAATTGTTTGCAGATTTCTGTGCATTCAACGATTTGGTGGTTGGAGACACTGTGTTCAAGCACAAGGATATCCACAAAGCGACATGGATTCGATTTCACCAGATGGACACAATACACTAAAAACCAGACCAACTTCACCTCAACCTCAAGAAAGTGAAGACGCAGCCTACTTGACACAAGGTCAAGAAGAGGAGCAGATGTAGGTTCACATCATCATCAAGTGCAAGGAACCTACCTTCAAAATCAAGTCAAAAGCCTTCAAACAAGCTGATGACAGACCACTGTTCAAGTTCAACACCCAGAACCAAAATTGAAGGACTAAACCACAAAAGACATCTTCACGTCGGCCATCAGAACAAAATGGGAGATATTGTGCAACATCCCTGAAGGAACCTCCGTGAAAGAACACTGGAACTTTTTGAAAGAGATGTGGAAAGAAACCTGCATAACCGTATTAGGAAGGAAGAAGAAGAAAGGAGACAAGGAATGGATCCCAACGGATACATGGAAGCTGAAAGAGGAGAGGAGGATGGTGAAGCAGAAGATGAACCAGTGTGGTGCAGGGATGAACAACGGAGAGAGGAACTGAACACAACCTATAAAACACTACACTGGACAAAGAAGTGAAGAAGAGTGCATGCAAAGACAAAAGACACTTCTACAACACACATTGGCAAGTGAAGCAGAACAGGCTGCAGGTAGGAGGGACCTGACAACATTATTTCAAATAACCAGGTTACTATCTGGGAGGGAAGAGATCAACGCAGATGAAACCAACGAGAGATAGTGGAAGAAACTTGGCTAACACTAAAAAGAAGAAATAAGGGAAACGATAGACTGACCACTTCAAAAAACCATTGAATCGACCACCACCACCACCATCTGACTCGTCTAGAAATACCACCAGCAGCCCAGGCACAGAATTACAAGTGAACATAAGCCCTCTGCCAAAAGCAGAAGTGTTGGACTCCATAAAGTTGCTGAAATCCGGCAAAGCAGCATAACCAGATGAAATTCCGCCAGAAGCACTTAAAACAGACAGAGACATCAGTGCGCATGCCCACACCACTATTGCAGAAAGTCTGGAAGGAAGGGAAGGTACCTGCTGATCGATTGGAAGATGGGTTACCTTGTCATACTTCCATACAAGAGTTACATGAGTTTTTGCAGGAACTGGCGAGGCATCATGCTCCAACTCTGTCCACACCAACCAAAATATTAAGCCGCATCATCCTGGAGAGACTAAAAGATTCAAATTTACTACCGGAACAGGCTGGCTGGCTGGATTCAGGAAGAACAAATCATGTGCGGATCAAATTGCAACGCTACACTACACATCATCATAGAACAGATTATAGAATGGCAGTCAACTCTCAACCTTAACTTCATCGATTTTGAAAAGGCCTTCAACAGCATCGACCGAGAAGTAATTTGCCAGGCAGTTGCTTCAACACTACGGAATACCACAAACCTTTATCAACCTCATTCAACAACTATATGAAGACGCCACATGCCAAGTGATTCACAATGGAAAGCTCAGTGATGCCTTTGAAGTGAAGACAGGAGTAAGACAAGGCTGCTTACTATCACCGATGGTCTTCCTGATTGTGGTCGATTGGATCATGCAACAAACTGTGAGGAGCTGTGAGAAGATGGGCATACGCTGTTTGATCGATTAGAAGACCCTGGAAGATTTGGATTTTGCCGATGATTTGTGTCTAATGTCGCACAACCTCAAAGATCTACAGGCGTAAACTAACAATTTGACAGAAGAGGCAGCGAGGACGGGACTTCCTTCAGGTGAAAGCAGAAAAGAAAAAGGTGATGAAGATACCTAACCAACACCATCACCACCAACAACAACAACAAACATCAATCACCATCAACGGGAGAAACTTAAAGGAAGTAGCCTCTTCCACCTATCTAGGCAAAGCAGCATCGTCTCAACTACAGGCGGCATAGGCACAGATGAGGATGTCAAAGCCAGGATCAGGAAAGCAAGACAGGTCTTCATTAACCTGAGACCAGTGTGGAGACCTACTGCACTCAGCATTGAGCGTGAACAAGATCCAGATTTTCAACACCAACGTGAAGTCAGTGCTTCCACATGATGGTTAAGAGACTTGGTGCGTTACGAAAAGCACTTCAAACAAACTAAAGATATTCACCAACAGCCTCCTACGCTGCCTCGATACTGAGCATCAGATCAGATGGCCAGAAAGAATAAGTAAAGTAAGAAGGAACTCTGGCATGGCAACGAACCAACCAAGAACCCATCACATCGCTCAAC